GATCGAATCAGCGATCCATCATCTTCTAGTTCTATAAATCGAGCGCAATTAATGTCATCTCTTAAACGTTCTAATTCGATAAGCTCTTTGAAGTCGGTCGCCAGTATTGCAGCAATGAGAGAGATAATCTATGAATCACCTCCTTGTAAAATATTTTGTTGGACTAATGGCAACTGGAGACCTTTGACAACCAAAGATATATGTGTAGTAGAAGTACGAATAACAACTATGAATAAAGGTTGTTGGGCTATTTTATTAAAAAATAGTAATCGTATGGTACTTAACGCTTGGATTCATCCTAATACTCCGATAGACAGAGATTCAGAAACTACTATCAGTATTTCGTGTGACATGGGATTGAACAAAGAATTTTACCGTGTTTCAATGCCAACATTTGAAGATGCAGACCGATTCTTTGCAAATTTAAATAAAGTTAAACAATTACCTGTAGAAAATCACAGTCACTTATTACCACAAGGGTTATTGAAATCTCGTTCATCATCATTACAATCATTAAAACAAAATGATGAAAAATCCATGACATTAGCAATGGAATGCCGATGTAGGGTATTTTTACAAAATGATCATGGAATATGGACAAATCTCGGATGGGGAAATATGAAATTAGAAGTTGAATCTCCATCACAGCGAAAGAAAATACTAATAACTAGTGAGAAGCAAAATAAGAAATTGGTTGATTCATTTGTTCGAGAAGATGGTGTAGAACGAGTTGGCAGAGCTGGTGTAGCTATTACTTTAAACAATGTAGATAAAACAAATAATAGAAGAATTATTTATATGATGCAAATGAAAGAGGAAGCTACGGCTGTGAAAGCCTTTGGGATTATGAAACAAGGGAATAGATAATATTTAAGTAGAATACTAACTTTTTTTTTTAACTAAAACTTTTGAAGACATTATTTTTTATTTACGCTTTCTTTGTACATAAAACTGTCGAACTATAGTTCCTTTATTAACATATAAATTATAGAACAGGTCATTAATTTACATTCTTTTTTAATATAGAGGCTTTTCTTTTAAGTCGTTGACCTACCTATTTTGAACGGGATTTATCACCATTTTAGAGCTAAACGACAAGTTTATCATTTTTCTTAACTTTGTTTTTTCTTGAACAAGAGCAAATATTTATCCATACATGTCCCCGGTGGGCGATATAGATACATTTTGTTAAATGACAAATGGAGTTTGTCCATTTTTATTTCGCATTTCATCACTTTAATATATACAAATAAAAAGACCTTCGCACTTAAAAATATAAGAACAGAAATTATGATGATTACTTTATATAAATTATAATACTACTCGCGTAGAATCGCATCTATCTATAGTACCTAGGAGAATGGCAAAGAAAATATTTTCTAGATATGCTGAGACCTAATTTAATGTATAATCATATTTTACCACTCTAACGTTTACTTCTCCGACAATCATTTCACCGACATTAGGGTTAGGATTTTATTATTTACTGGTATATATTCTTAGTAAATTGTCGCCGGTGAAATAATACGGACCCAACGATGTCACAGTGCACTGCCTAAAGGATCCACGTCTAGTGATCCAAATCATTAGTTGAAAAACCACAACTTTCCAACTAATCGATTTGGAAAATTTTGAAACAACTAATCGATTAAATCATTAACTAGTTAAATTCTGTGATTTATAATTATCCGGTTTATCCGGATATCAATAGTAAATGGATATCTGGATAAATTCAAGTGAGAGTGAAAATCAAGAAAAACATTCAATGATTGGTTATGTTGATCTCTTGCCAATCAACAAATTTAGTCACATGATAGGAAACCCGATTTAGTAGATTCCCAATTGTTCGTAACAGTGTCGTAATCTAATTTATGCATCGCTGGCTAGAGCGTGAATCATAAGCCAAATAAATTGTTGTCTAGTGATGCTGAAGAATTATTTCCACAATTGTGAAAATAATTTCCCTGCACTATCACATCCGCCACGTTTTTTTCATTCTGCGACATATTTATTTCATAGAATTGATTGGTTTTTGAGGTTTGGGGCAAAAATAAATGGGCACACGTTTGGATTTCAATTTGGGTTTGGAATTTCGAAAATAGTTGACTCTCAAACCAAATTTAGGTAGAAACCACAAACTGTCCCGTTCGGGTTTGGTTTACATTGTTAGTTGCAACTATAGTTGGCAACTAATCGATTAGAAAATTTTTTACCAATACCATGAATTGTATTCTTTGTTGAGATAAGGTATCACACAGGACAAGTTTACTAATTTTCCTCCAATTTCCAATTGGATGTATCGGTATGTTTCTTGATTGGCGACTACCGTAAATTTTGAAACACTGTTTCAAAGCATATATGTTGTGCTTGAAGTTAAACCTGTTTAAAATTACTAATTAATGCATACAAGAAAATCTAATTTCAGGGGTAATTTCAAACGCAAATCAACAAAAAATTTGAAATATGATGCAAATTATCTAAAGACATCTAAAACTGTAACCCCTCAATGAATATGCAAAAATGAAAGCATAACATTATAGGTGCATCATGATACAACCATCATAGTTTGAATAATTAAAAACTATATTGCTAAAGCTGGTGAGTCCTCAGTTATTGCTTTTAGACATCCATTGAGCATTTAAGTCCGATTAACTAATGCAGTCAAATAAATTTCCTTCACGGTTGCCAAGTTCTCTTACTGTCAGCTTCTGCTAATGCAGAATATTTTTGGTCCAATTTTCAGATTCAAGCTTATTTTATAGACAACGAATTCACAAACAAGCTTACTTTACAGACAGCTTATTTCACCGACAAGTTAATTTATTGTATAAAGTCACGCAAAATTAATTTTTCGTTTTGCATAACCCGCCGACCCATTTTTAATTTCAAATT